GTCATTCAGCATCCCTATCTGCCATAAACACTCTCAATTATCACTGGATCTATTGGGTCATAAGTACCAAACGGTAGTACAGCTTGTACTGTAGCCTGAATTTGCTTCAGAGACTTCTCTTGCTCTGGTTATCACTCATAACTGGCAACTATAGGGGTGACTGTACATGGGAACTTCAAAAAGTTCGTGGAAAAATAGAATTAAAAGATAATGCAAATCTTTTCATGAATTTTTTGAAGACCCCTTGTATATATAGGTCGCACACTCAAATGTTATATATTGCCCCTAAAATCCAAGGAGGCCTGCCAAGTGTTATGCCTTTTTTTCAGGGTAGATGGCGAAAGGTGCCATAACCTGTCTTTCACCTTGGAGAATATTAATGACTCCCCAGAAACTTTACTGAGATGACAGGCACCTGAATTTTTGTGGGATTTATTTATCACTCTCTAGTTCACATATGTCTATGAACTATCTTTACATGTTCTTTGCCCATTTTTCTTTTGGGTTTTGGTCTTTTATTTCTTGATTTCTAGGAGCTGTTTACACATGAGAGAGATGAGCCCTTGGGCTATGATATAAGCTGCAAATATCTTGACCAGTTTTTCATTTGTGTTTAAACTTTGCTTATGATCTTTTTCATCTTGCAGAATTTATTTTTATGTAATTGATGTAGTTGGTTGATCATGCTTCTCTTTAATGACTTCTAGATTTTATTTTTTCGTAGCTGGCTGGTTGACTTCTAGATTTTGAGTTAGAGTTATAAAGGCTTTCTGTACTTCCCACAAGTGATTGTGATACACAGCTAAGGTTGAGAAGCACTAGATTAGGAGAAGCAATTATAAATTAAAGGAAAGAACTATAATTGCCTCTGGCATGTCTTCTGGTAAAGAGAGATGATGTAGTTTGACACGATGAATCCAGAATGAACTTAAGTTAGTGTGATTAGTATCTTCTGCTGCAGGTTGGTGGCAGCAATGAAGAAAGCAACTAGTTTGGGTTACTCAGGTAGAGATTTCCATGACAGACTAAATGTAACAGGTGAGGTCATTCATTCACTCATTCATTCATCTATTCATTCCACAAATGCCAGAGGTCTATTAATCAACAAATCAACAATGTTGCCCAGTGATGTGGTGGTAAATGTTTAACAATCAGCTCTTGGTTGAGGGGCTGTAGGGAACCCCTGATTTATAGTGTTTGTTAGTTTCTGGTTTCCATGGTGTAACTATCCCTATCAATGTGATGTCACTGAATGTGAAATTGGGAAGAGATGTGAACAATCAGCTTTCATCAGCTGCTACTAGCCATTTGGAACTCACCACTGATTGTTGTCTCAGTCTTCAACTTCTTCGATACTTGTTCAGTATCTAATACTGTTGACCATCCCTTCCTTCATGAAATTCTACATCATTGTCTTCCACAATATTTTATTCTCTTTGGATTCTGTTACTTTTATCCACCAAACTTCCTTAATCTGAAATTTTCTTTCTTCTGTCTTGCACTAGTCTCTCTCTTCACTTTCTCTTTGCAATCTGATCTCTTCTCATGCCTTTAACTATCACTTCTATGCTAAAAACTGGCAAATATCCATCTCCATCCCAAAACTTTCCTCTGAGCTCCAGACTTTCATTTCCAACTACTTGTTGGGCAGATCTGCTAGGGATGTTCTATTGATAATGCAAACTCAGCATGTTTAAAGGCATCATCTTGTCCCCAAATCTTCTCTTCCTGACTTCCCTATCTTTGATTCTCCCAATGTCCCAGCATTGAAACTTTGAAGTGATATTTGATTCTCCTCTAGTCTATTTTCCCATATCCAGTTGGAAGTCCTTTTGATTCTTCTTTGATAGTTCTCAAATCTAGTCTTCTTTCATTTTTATAGTTATTCCTAAACCCACACTATTTCAATAGCTTCTTTTTTCTTTATTGTGGATAATATACATAACATAAATTTGCCATTTTAGCCACTTTAAAGTGTATTCACTTGAAGTGTATTCATTAAAGTTTATTCACACTTCATTGGCATTTAGTGCATTCACAATGTAGTGTAACCATCATCACTATATAGTTCCAAAATTTTCATCACCCCAATAGGAAAACCTGTACCAATTGAGCAATAATTCTCTGTTCTCAGCCTCTAGCAACCACTACTCTGCTTTCTGTCACTACAGATTTTCCTCTTCTAGGTATTTCATATAAATGGAATCATATAACATGCAGCCTTTTGTGTCTGGTTTCTTTCATTTAGTATAATGTTTTCAAGGTTCATTCATGTTATAAGCATGTACCATTGCTTCGTTCCTTTTTTTTTTTTTTTGGCAGCTGGCCAGTGTGGAGATCTGTCATTCCTTTTTATGGCTAAATATTGTATTGTATTCATACACCACATTTTATTTACCCATTTTTTCAGTTGATGGACATTTGGGTTGTTTTGACCTTTTGGTTATTGTGTATGGTGCTGCTATGAACATTCATGTTCCAGTTTTCATTTGCACACTTGCTTTCAGTTCTTTTGGATATATTACATCTAGGAGTAGAAATGCTGGGTCCAATGCTGGGTATAACAAGAGGAACACCAGACTGTTTTCCATTGCGGTTGCACAACTTTATATTCCCACTAGCAATGTGTCAGAGTTCCGTTTTCTCCACATTCTTTCCAACCCTTATTTTTCATTTTTTAAAATTATCGCTATCCTAGTGGTTGGAAAGTTTTATGGTTTTAACTTGTATTTCCCTAATGACTAATGATGGTGAGCATCTTTTATGTTTTTGTGGGCTATTTGTACATCTTCTTTGAGACATTTCTTTTGCCTGTTTTTTGATTAGGTGGTTTCTCTTTGTTGTTATCTCAACAGCCTGTTAATCCAGGCTTCCTTCACCCTTTGCAACTCTAATATTTTTTTCCCTCAGCTGTCAGAATGAGTTTTTGTTATGATCTTCTACCCCAAACTGTCAATAGCTCTCCACTGCTCCACAAATAACCCTGGTACTCATGACCTCCACAGTATTTTGAAACCTTCTTTATCAGCTTTATCTCTTATTATTCCTATACACATGCCTTAAGGTCAACCCACCCATTCTCTGAACATGATTTCTTTCCTACCCAAGTCTTAACTAATGTTCTGGTCACCATCCAAGTGTTCTTAATCCCTATGCCCATCTGTCAAAATTTTTACCCATCTTGGTTAACTTCTATCTATCTTCAATATTATTTTACCTAGACACCTCCCACTTCCCATTTCCAGATTATTTTGAAGCAAATTCCAGACATCATATCACTTTATCTTAAATATTTCAGAATCCTTAAAAGACAAGCATTATTTTAAAATAACTACAATACCATTATCATACCTAAGTAATAATTATATAACATCATCAAATATCCAGTCAATGTTCAAATGTCCTCAACCATCTCAAGGAAGTTTTTTGTTTTGTATTTATAGTTTGCTTGAATAAGTGTCCAAATAAAGACCAAACATTGCAATCGGTTGATATGATCATAAGTCTTTTAATTCATAAGTTTTTTCTCTTTCTCTTTTCTTGCAATTTATTTGTTGATGAAACCAAATTGTCTTTCAAGTTTCCCAGAGTCTGGGTTTTGCTGATTATATCCCTGTGGTGTCAATGAACATGTTCTTCTATCCCCTGTATTTCCTACAAATTAATGAATAGATCTAAAGGCTAAATCAGATACAGGTTTGATTGCTTCCTGGCAAAACTACTTTTTGGGTGGTGTTATGTACTGTCATTAGGAAGCACATAGTCTGGTCTGTCTTTTGGGAATGTTATCAGTTATTGATGAATATTGTTAGATCCCTTAATTCATGAGGGGTTGAAAACAGTGATATTCTAATTCTATTTCTAATTTTTAATTATAAATAATTAAAATTTTTTCTTTTTATGTCCTGAATATACTGGTTATATTCTATCACTCTTTCTTCATTTGTTAGCTTTTCCAATATACCATATTACTATAAGATATATAGTACTGTGTGTATATATAATTTATAAAGAGAAATTTCCCTTCATCAACAATTTGACTACCCAGAGGTACAGTTCATATAGAGAAAGCAGAATAAATGCTAGGTCCTCTCTATTTATCAATTTTTAAATTAACAAGTTCGTTTGCTGGCACCCTGTAAGTTGACCAATGAATTTTAATATATTATGAACTCATGCATTTAAACACATTTGATGTATTTCAAACTATTGCAGTTATCTTTATTGATGCTTAAATCATATCATCTTTGCCAGTGGGAAACAATCCAAGTTGGCTCTTCGATCCTTTTGAGCTGTCTGTCATAGCTACTTGTTTTCCAGTATGGCAAGATGTTACAGGCTCATATTGTACATTTCTTGCCCCAGAGCTGAAATCGCCCAATTTCTTCAAGGATCTATAGTTCCTTTTTGTAGTAAATATTATGTAGAGACCACAATCTGGGCATCACTAACTGGATTGGTCATTGTTCCTAGGCCTTTTCAGTGAATAAAGCCAGGAGGTTTTGTTGTTATTTTGTAGTTTTATTTAAGATAAAATACTTTGTCAGCTTATACTGATACTTCCAATTAAAGCCAGAATTCACTTAACTTTATCAGTTTTATACCTATACTTCCTTCATGAATTCTTCCTAATGACCTCAGCCAGAAGCGATCGCTCTTCTTTTGAATTACATCCTCCTCCTTAACACTTTCATGGCAATCAACATATTAATCTTTGATTCATTGTTATTTTTGTATATGTCTGATTCTCTCCACCAAATGGTAAGCAATTTGAGGCCACAGTCCACATTTTTTCACTTTGTTAAATAAAGATAAAATTCCAAAAGTGCTCGTGTATTTCCTGACACATAAACACCCTTTTCTCTATATACCCTTCAAAATATAAATCCATATAATATTTGTACTAAAAATTAATAAATGATTATTAAATGAACAAAGATAAAACTCAACTTTTCAGATATAAAGTACTAGAAACTCCAATTTTAGTGGCAGTTATTTTAAAGATATTAAAGTTGTTTGAAATAAATTTTATTTAACAGATATAAAACAATTCTGAACATTTACAACTTGTACAAAGACTGGTAAGTTTATATTTTTTAAGTGCTGTACTAAAAGAATAGAAAAAGCTGAAGACCTCAATGACATTCCAAATTATAGGTTTGGAATATTATAGGAAATGGGAGTATGAAGAAAGTATTCTAATAAACTAAAACATCCTCAAAACATTTTTGACTGAAGTAAAATGAATAATACTAGATTTGAAAGCAGTGTGAAATCACACTTTGGTCTGTAAACATGTTTAGCTTTGTTTTTCATTCAGATGTATACATAAAAATTATTTTTAAAAGCTCATTTAAATGAACGATTCAAAGGTATAATAAAAAAAGAGGTAGGGAATGAAAATTAAAGGATTTATTTTGGCAGTTCTTCAATAATGATGCGAGACACTGAATTCCATCCAGTGGAAGCATCTCCTTTTGGGTAATCCGAACAAGTACCAACCCAGATAGCAACATCCACTAATCCAGCACCAATTCCTTCACAAAGTCCTTCCACTGCAAAACAAAAATGGAAGTTACATCTTTCTTTAGAACAAAAAGCACAACCCTTTAGCTAAATCTTATTACTCTGGAAAGCTAGATTATAATCCTCTTTAATGTAAAGCTAATTAATTCTAATACTTGTAAGAGTTTCATAACAAAGTTCTCTTTTCATTAGTTGGTATGTAAATATTTTTAAAAGATGTATACATAATCATTCTATGATATAAGTTGAACAGGCAGTTTTCTTATAGATTTCAACCATAAAACCAGAATTTATTTAGTTACAGAGAGAGCCTAAAATAAAAAAGCAATTTATTTGACTAAACAAAGGAAGCCTACATTCTTAAAAGCCAAGACTTTGATTTGATATGCAAGTCTTTTTTTAAGAAAACCCTTTCCAACACTTATCTGTACACTTGATGCTGTTCAAGTGGAAAAAAAGGACTTTTATAATATTAAAAATAATTCTAGCATAATCATTAAACCAGTCCTTCAACCTGAGAATCCCGTTTTACACAGAATTTCCTCATAGTAAAAGAACAGTCCTCTGACCCCTTTTCCTCTGTGTTCTTATGATTTATTATTATGCATTTTTTTACATGTCCTCTGGACTTTCACATACTAACATACAATTTGCATTTCATCTAACCAAGGGCCTTCTACATGAAAAAAAAAAAAATTTCCCCCAGTGGTCATTTTAACAAGCAAAAAGACATGGTACCTTTGATATATATGTAAAGGGTGAAAAGGAATTGTAGGTTGGCAGATTCTTTAAGAAAATTAATCCTGACATATTAGTAGTGTGGTGGATAACCTCGTGTGACTGATTAGGTTTCCTATTTGGTTGAGGTTAGTGCATTCCAGCTGAGCCCCAGGGATATAGGCCTGAAGCAATCTGCTTCCATTAGCTATTGCATCAGTAAATCTAGGGCAAGTCCCTCAGAATCCAGAACTAGGCAGTGGGTTCACAATCCCATTTAATCTGGTATTCTCAATACTATGCCAGGTGAAAATGCCCAGAAATACTCATGTTTTCACAAAGAGTTGAAATCCACAGCATAGAAATTTGTTCCTTGCAACCTACAGGCTCAGGACATCATACAAGCTTAAGTCTAGCATCACCAGTCACTTCATGGTCTTTAACAAATGAATAATGTTTGTTGAATGAATGAACTTAAAATTTTTGCTGTGAAAATATAGTATTGCAACTTATTAAGCACCTTAAATATATTAGATTGGCAGTTCTCAACATATTTTCTTTTTAGACCCAAGTAACAGATGACATTCAAAGGTCTGTTAACCTCCCATGGGTGTAGTGCCAAGGCTTTAAGTCATCCTCTAATGTGCTAACTATAAGTGATCCCCTTTTCTTTCTCTCAAGAAAGGTATCTGTGCAAGGGAAAGTGATTTTATTATAGAGGTGACCTTTAGTTCACATTAGTAAAAAAACTGTTATTAATAACAACTTACTTGTGACACTCCACCCAAGAGACCACACCAAACAAGTTTCCACACCATGACTGGGAAATGCTATGTTAAATAAATTGTAAAATACATGCAAGCATAGGTCATAGTTCCTGGGCCTAACATGCATGCTAAAGATAATATCATAGAAAATAAGTTGCTTGCATCAACTGCTGCGTAAATATGTCACTTCCTAATCAAATTTTATGTTTTATACCTAGATTTTCCTTATTTTTGAAGCTGCTCCTCAGATGGGAAGCCCTCCTTCCTTTCCAGCATATATATCTAAGGACTTAGGGAAAAGGCTTTTTAATCTTATCAAAAAGAGAGGTGGGGAGTCAAGACAGCAGGTTCTGGTTTCTGCTCTCCTGAACGTTCTACTATTGTGGGTGAGATGCTGTATTTCCCTGGGCCTTCTTGATATGCAAAGAGAGGGGCTTAAAATATCTTCTTTATAATTTGAGCATACTATAGAGACTTGAGGAAAAATGTGGAAGGGATGCCCTAGATTTCTTAGGAATAAATGTGCTAAATTAGTTTTGGGGTTCAGTACCTGACTTGGATCCCCAAAAAATTCTGAAATAAGATTTCTTCTAGTTAGCAATGGCAGAGGGAGGTGGGGTGGGAATCTTTTCTCTTCCCTGAGCCATTTTTTAGTTCATGATTAGTGAGAAAAATCTTTGAAAAATTAGGGAAATGGACCATGCAACGAGGAGCCAAGGTGAGCACTACTCTTTGCGCCACTGCCCCAACCCACACCCAAGCCCTGGAAAGGCCAGTCCACCATGCAACCAGGGGCTGAGGTGAGCACTGTCCCATGCACCACTGCCCTGGACCCACACCCAAGCCCCAGAGAGGCCTGCCCATCGGGCAACCAGGAGCTGAAGTGAGTGCAATCCTGAATGCCACCATGGGCCCAGACATAAGCCCTGGAAAGGCCTACCCATGGCCCAATCAGAGTCAAGGTGGTCTACCACAGCCACTGCCACACCTACTGCCACCACAAGGACGAATCATCACCATGGTGGCAGCCATGGCCACCCTACAGGCAGTCCACACACTCGACTGCACTGATACAAGAAGAGTCACCCGTAGAATCTATAAATAGAGGAGGAAGTCTTCTCCTACCAGATGACCAAACATCAATGAAAAAAAACTAGAACTACAGATAAACAAGAAAATATGACACCACAAAAGGAAAATAGTAATTCTCAAGTACCAGACACCATCAAGCAGGAAAACCTTGAAATATCTGAAAAGGAATTCCTAGCAATGATCTTAAGAAAACTCAAAGAAAAGACAAGACTCAATTAGAGAACACAATGAAACAAGAAAAAATATCCACGATATGAAGGATACAAAGAAATTAATACCTTAAAAAATAATGTAGCAGAACTTCTAAAACTGAAGGATTCACTCAATGAAATAAAGACCACAACAGGGAAAAGAGCTTGAGCAGCAGGCTAGAGCAGGCAGAAGAAAGAATTTCAGATCTTGAAGACAGTCTTTTTGAAATAAGCCAGGAAGACAAAAAAAAAAAAAAGGAATTTTAAAGAATGACAAAAGTCTAAAGGAGCTAGCAGACAACTTCAAGTGCAAAAACATTCTAATCATGGGTATTCCAGAAGTGGGGGAGGAGAAAGGAAAAGGCATTGGAAACCTATTCAAGAAAATAATAACAGAAAACTTCCCAGGTATAGGGAGAGACATAGACCTTCAGATACAGGAAGCCCAAAGATCCCCAAATAGATTCAATCCAAAAAAGATCCTCTCCAAGACACATTATAGTCAAACTGGCAAAGTTCAAAGACAAAGAGAGAATTCTAAAAGCAGCAAGAGAAAAGCATCAGGTCATCTATAAGGGAGCCCCCATCAGACTAACAGCAGACTTCTCAACTGAAACATTAAAGGCCAGAAAAAAATGGGTTGGCATATTCAAAATATTAAAAGAAAAAAATTGCCAGCCAAGAACACTATACCCAGCAATGTTAGCCTTCATAAATGAGGGAGAAATAGTGTATTTTCCAGACAAACAAAAATAGTGGGAGTTCACCACCACACAACCAGCCCTGCAAGAAATTCTCAAAGGAGTACAGCATCTGGAATGTGAAAACAATAATCACTATTATAGATACACAAGAAAAAGCAAAACCCACCATAAAACAAAAATGCAAAAGAGAGAAGGAAGCTAAATCATGCCACCTCAAAAATCCAACCAACACTGAAGATGAAAAATAAAAAGGGAAGAATGGAACAAAAGAAATTTAAAACATCTAAACAAAAAGCAATAAAGTGACAAGAGCAAAGCAATACCCGTCAGTAACAGTCCTAAACGTAAATCGATTAAACTCCCCATTCAAAAGACACAGACTAATTGATTGGATTAAAAAAGCTAGACCCAACTATTTGCCATCTTCAAGAGACTCACCTCATCTCTAAAGACTCACACAGACTGAGTGAAGGGATGGAAAAAGATAAACCATGCAAATGGAAACCAAAAATGAGCAGGAGTAGCTATTCTTATATCAGATAAAATAGACTTTAAACCAAAAACCATTAAAAGAAACAAAGAAGGCCATTATTTAATGATAAAGGGATCTATCCAGTTAGAAGACATAACAATCATAAACATGTATGCACCCAATACTGGAGCACCCAGATATGTAAAGCAAACACTCTTAGACCTAAAAAAGAAATTGACACTAATATGAGAATAGTGGGTGACCTGAACACCCCTCTCTCAGCATTGGACAGATCTTCCAGGCATCAAATCAACAAAGAAACACATGATTTAAACTACACCTTAGACCAATTGGAACTGGCAGATATCTACAGAACATTTCATCCAACAATTACAGGATATACATTCTTCTCATCAGCACATGGAACATTCTCCAGGACAGACCACATGTTAGGTTACAAATCAAGTCTCAGCTTCTGGTCAAGATGGTGGAATAGATGGTCCCCAGTGTCACTCTCTCCCACAAATCAATGAATTTACAACTATAAAAATGTAACATCAGCCAAGCTGGGGCTGTTAGAGCTCAGGGGAAGAGGAGGAGAGACCTATGGAACTCATGAAGGTGGGAGAAACCACAATGAGAGAAAGAAAAAACTGCTCTCAGCGTTTTGGGCTGTGGACACTTTAATGCTGGAGCGTGTGGAGCAGGAGCCGGCAAAAGCCACAGCCGTGCCCTTTAGATGAAGTTACTTGGAGGTGGATGGGGAGAAGAGGACTTTGGTGACCCCAGGACAGCAAGACCACTAACAGGGTTCCTGTGGACCCATGCAGGAGCAAGGAGCCAGAACAGCTGAAAAAGGGGAGCCATTCAGAAGCCAGTGAGTCATCGGAAGGGACCAGCGCAGGGCCCGTCCCATAGGAATTGTTTGGAGCACGGGCAGTGGGGGAGACAGACTTACCGGGAGAAAACTGGGACACAGCAAGGACAGCTGATCCGCCCCCCAATCAGCACAGGACCACTCAGAGGAGACTCGTTGGAAATGCAGAATTGCATAGGGTGCGATTTGATGAAAAATCTCAGGCCCAG